GATGTGCCTTCTCTAGGTTTTCACTTATAATCTCCTCAGTGCAGTTAATTCAAGTGTGTGTGATGTGATGTGACGTGCGCATGAGCGCATGGATGGATAGGCCCGTGGATTCTGTAGAAGATGCATCATTTGAAATAAGTTTTATTTTTTATAATAATTGAAATGATGTTAGGTATTTTCTGTTGTCCTCAGCTATCACAATAATTACTTAAAGACAAGAAGGCTTGGGCCAGGTACAGTGGCTCACACGTTTAATCCCAGCACCTTGGGAGTCTACAGTGGATAATTACTTGAGGTCAGAAGTTCAAGACCAGCCTGGCCCACATGGTGAACTCTCATGTCTACTAAAAATACAGAAGTTATCTGGCTGTGGTAGTGAGCACCTATAATTTCAACTATTGAGAAGCTAAGGTACGAGAATCACTTGAACCCCAGAGGCACAGGTTGCAGTGAACTGAGATCACACCACTGCACTCCAGCCTGGGTGACAGACTGAGAATCTGCCAAGAAACAAAAAGCAAGAAGGGTGATAAAGGGTTGCATGCACGCCTGTGTGAATATTCAGTGACCTTTTAGGATGCTCCATGTTCCCAGCCTGGCACGTCTCTCACTTCTCTCCACTAGGTAAACCACTGTCAATGTAGATGTGAAGCTGTGTCTGTTACTTAGGGTTTTATATTCAAAGTTGAATCCCAGACATCTGAATTCAGGTGCTTGCGTTCACATTTTTATCTATTTGATTTGTGGCTACTTTCCCAGGTTGTGTGTGAGACAGTTCTCTGCAAGTCCAGATCTTTGCTCATGGACAGTGTGTTAGCTTATGGCCTAGGACATGGGAAGCACGTAGAAAACTGTTCAGTACATGGGAATGTTCAAAACAGTCATTGCTACTGCTATAATTATGACAGTTTTTTGTTTGTTTTGGTTTTGTTTTGGAGACGCCCTCTTGCTCTCTCACCCAGGCTAGAGCTCAGCAGCATGATCTCGGCTCACTGCAGCCTCCACCTCCTGGGTGCAAGGAATTCTCTTCCTCAGCCTCCCAAGTAGCTGGGATTACAGGAGCCTGCCACCATGCCTGGCTAATTTTTATATTTTTAGTAGAGATGGGGTTTCACCACCTTGACCAGGTAGGCTTTGAACTCCTGACCTTGTGCGTCACTGCTCCCGGCAATCATAACAGTTTTTCCTTAAATCATAACACCCTTCTACAATTAGATCATGATAGTTTTTTGATTGTGACTTCCATTTCTCTTTCTCTCCCTCCCCCTGTCTCTCTCTCTCTCTTTTTGATGGACTCTCAATCTGTCACCCAGGTGTAGTGTAGTGTTACATTCTCAGCTCACTGCAACCTTTACCTCTAATGTTCAAGCGATTGTCCTGCCTCAGCCTCACGAGTAGCTGGGACTACAGGAGCTCACCACCATGCCCGGCTAATTCTCTGTATTTATACTAGAGATGGGATTTTACCGTGTTAGTTAGTGTGGTCTCAATCTTTTGACTTCATGATTCTCCTGCCTTGGCTTCCCAAAGTGTTCGGATTACAGGCATGAGCCACCACGCCCAGACTTTTCCTTTTTCCTTTCCTTTTTTTTTTAAGACAAGATTTGGCCCTTGTGGCCCAGGCTGGAGTGCAATGGTGTAATCTCAGCTCACTGCATCGTCCACCTCCCGGGTTCAAACAAATCTCCTGCCTCAGGCCCCTGAGTAGCTGGGATTACAGGTGCCCGCCGCCATGTCTGGCTAATTTTTGTATTTTTAGTAGAGACAGGGTTTCACTACATTGACCAGGCTGGTGATCTCCAACACCTGACCCCAGATGATCTGCCCGACTTACCCTCCCAAAGTGCTGAAATTACAGGCATGAGCCACTGTGCCCGGCCCTGACTTTGTTTTTTTTTTTTTTTTTTTTTTTGAGACGGAGTTTCGCT